TGGTTGGACATCCTGGAGCTGAGTCCAGCCAGGCCTCTTGACATACAGTTCCTTTTGAACTGAAGGCTACTGGGCAGCAGCCAACACCAGGAGGCGGGTTTTCGACCCTCCCCGCCCTTTTCTGCCTAGAGGCAGGAGGCAAATTCACCTTTACTGCAGATGCCTAGAACCTTCTCTGCGCAGAGATGGCAGGACTGCTGCCTTAGCAATCTCTGCGTTTGGAAGTCTAAACCTGCTTGTTCTGCCGGTTCCTCTAGGAATTCCTCACCTCTCCACCCCCCCGCCCCCCAGCATGCTGAGGCTGAGTCTGCAGCTCCCGGAGCTTCTACCTCGGGCTGCGCCCCAGCCCCCAGCTGTTCTTTGCTGAAGATGCCCAGTTCCGAAGGCTGCCTTGCGTTACTTTATAGGAAGAGAACCCAGGAGTGAGGGTGCCTTGGCATGTGGTAAGTGCGTATTCTACTTTTTAATGATCAGCCAGAGTTTTTCCCAGAGTGGCAGCGCCATATGTAATCCCGACAGTAGCCTAAGGGACTCTGGTTGTTCTGAGTTTTCTCTAGCACTTGGTATTTGCCCGTTTTCAGTTTGAGCTATTCTGACAGGTGATTAGTGCTGTTTTGTCATAGCGTCATGGCTAATGACATTGAACTTCTTTGCATGTACTTATTTGCAGTCCCACATTTTCTTTGTTAAACTAGTGAAGGCTTTATTCCATTTTGTGATTAGATTGAGTTTGGAGAGTTCTTTATAGTCTTTGTCAGATATACCATTTGCAAACATTTTCTCCTAATTTGTGACTTTTTATCATTTTTTTTAGTACTAGGATTGGACTCAGGGGTGCTTAACCTCTGATCCACATCCCCAGCCCTTCAAATTTTTTTTTTTTTTTTTTTTTTACATTTTGAGACAGGGCCTCTCTAAGCTGCTGAGGCTGGCTTTAAACTCATGATCCTCCTGCTCCAGCCTCCTGAGCCGCTGGGATGGCAGGCGTGAGCCACCGCACCTGGCAACTTTTAATCTTTTCTTTGAGATGCTTTACAGAGCAAAAATTTGAATTTTAAGTTCAATTTATCGATGTGTTCTTGTTCTGTGAATTGTATCTTTGATGTTATATCTAAACACTCCAGGTCTCAAAGGTTTTCTCTTACATTTTTTTTCTATAAATTTTATAGTTCTACATTTTGAGATTAGATCTTTAATTTTGAGTTAATGTTTTGCATAAGGCCTGAGATTTAGATTGAGTTCCTTTTAATTTTTTGACCAAGTGCCAAGTTGTTCTGATACTGTGGGTAGAAATGACCAATCTTCCTCTACTGAATTATTTTTGTGCCTTTGTCAACCTCAGTTTGTGTAGAAGAGTGGACCTAGACTCTCTGTTCTGCTGTGCTGACAGGTGCCAATGTCACACCGTCTTGATGAGCATAGTCATATAATACGTCTTAAAATCAAATACTGTGTTTCTTCCAGCTTATTCTTATTTTTCAAAATTGCTTTGGATATTTTAATTCCTTGGCCTTTTCCTGTAAATTTTAGACCCAATTTGCCTCTACATACAAAGGATCCAGCTGTTATTTTGATAGTAACTGCTTTACCTCTGTCTACCAACGTGGGGAGGGTTGTATATATATACACACACAATATCTGTAAGAATATCTATTTATATTCATCTCTTTTCATACAAAAGTATCGGACTATTTATATTATTCTGTGCAGTTTTTTCCACTTAAAAAGACATCCTGGAGATCATCTCAAACAGATCTGGAGATCATGTGAACCCCTCTTTTTAAAAATTTATTTATTTTAATTAGGTGTATATGTGCACTCCTCTTTACAGCTGCTAAGTTGTCCTTGTTGGACCATGTAGCTTTTGTAGTCCTCTAGCTCCTACCAAAGTGTTTTTTTTCTGTGGGGGGGTGGGTAGCCAGGATTGAACTCAGGGGCACTGAGTCCACTGAGTCACATCCCCAGCCCTATTTTGTATTTTATTTAGAGACAGAGTCTCACTGAGTTGCTTAGCACATCGCTTTTGCTGAGGCTGGCTTTGAACTTGTGATCCTCCTGCCTCAGCCTTCTGAGCCATTGGGATCACAGGTGTGCCCCACCACACCTGGCCAAAAGGACATTTTGGTGTGTGTGTGTGTGTGTGTGTGTGTGGTGCTGGGGATTGAACTCAGGGGTGCTTTGAGTCACATCCCCAGCCCTTTTTGTTGTTTATTTTTAGACAGGGTTTTGCTAAGTTGCTCAGGCTGGTCTCAAACATTCGATCCTTCTACCTCAACCTCCTGAATAGCTGGGATCTGGGATTACAGGTGTGTGCCAACTTACTTGGCTATTGATGTTTCCAATTTTGTTTGATCATCAATAATGGTGCCATCAATGAACTCAGTGGTTCTTAATGGCATGGGGTAGGTGATAGACCCAGCCTGATTTTCTCTTAAAATTGGGAGCCATCTCACCACAAAGCCATGAAAAGCTAATTTCGGCTTTA